GATCTGGTCTTGAAGGTTGATCAGCTACTGATGGTTGATCCTTTTGTATCCCCTTGCAAGAGATGTGTTTGGATTACTATGGATGTTGTCTCCAGAACCATAGTAATTGGTAACATCATGTGATTGAGATTGATGTTAGAATTAATATTGGAACATCATAAGGATTTTCTTCTTCAGCCAAGGAAGCTTGTTTTTCTCACGGTAGAGTGTAAGGTCAAGCCACTGGCCTAATTTGAAGTAGTTTATGGTGTGAATGGATGTCATGAAGAAGAATCAGCTGGTTCTAAAGGTGTGCAGAAATAAAATGCCAAACCAATTGTCCTACCTGGTGTGAGAAGGTAACCTTATCTGACTATTGAAAATACTCATACGGGAGATGAGTATTTGTCTGTCCTCTGTTGAGGTCGTGCATGTGACTGATGGTGAATACTTTGACGAGAGTTGAGTATTTGTCTGATGTGTTGATGCAAGTCTGCAGTGTGAACCTTATTATTCAGAAGGAGTATAAAGAATTTATTTTTCTATATGTGGCTATGTTGAGTAGCTTGTGATAGGAAGTTGCTAACTACCAAGAGTTTATTTTTATCTGTGGTGCTCTGGTGTGACAACCTGAATTGGCTGTTGAAGGTGTGTCATTGGAGATCCTCTAGTGTCTAGGACCTTTATGCAAATAATAAGTCCTATGGATGATATTTTTAAGAACCAGAGTGTTTGGGTATGTGATGAGAAGCTGGAGTCTCAAATGATGTTGTAACATCATGTTGCGTTGTGTTTGGAAGATGCTTGGGTTTGGGCATATGGAGTAAGAATGCTCAAGCATTATTTTCAGAAGAGGCATTTCTGATAATGCAGATTAGAATGTGGAGATTCTGATCTTGTTTATAGTAGTATGTTCTGGAAATGCATGACTACTATTTTTGAAGACTTCACTAGTATCAAAAACTACTAGTGGATTTAAGGACAGGAGAAGGTTATCAGATATTGAGGTCTGAACTTAATGTTTTTGGAGTTGCTCTTCTTCTTATCAGAATGATGTTGAGGTGGTGGTTTCTTCTACTTTGCAAGTAAAAGATGGTGGAAATATTGAACGTGTGTAGCAAGCAAGCTAAGAGCATTTGTTCTAGAATATGTGAGAAATTCCAAATCAGGTGTATCTTGTGTGTGAATAGCTCAAGGTGCTTGAAGTTATTCTCAAAAAGCTGGGTGATTGAATTAGAAGTACACATATCTCTCTAGTGGTCAATAGTTGTTTCTGGGAGAATTTATTTCTCTGCAAATTTTAGAAGGATTCTCTAAGGGTCTTTGTTGTTTAGAGATGTCACATATGTGATATTCTGATGTTTTGGTGTGTGTAAGTGAAATGAGTACACTTAGAATCCAGTACAAGGCAAGTCATATATGCTTCAAAACATATTTAGATAATCTTGTGAAGAATTTTTGAACTAATAGTTAAATAAGTGTTGGTCTCGTTGTTTTTAAAAGTAGACAATGTCTAACTGGATGTCAGAATATTTTTCAGGACATGTTTTCTTACTTGAGCCAAACAAGGAAGTATTATGGATGGTGCTATCAGAAGGATGTGTAAAACATGACTCGTATTGCTGCATGGACACTTATTGGAATAATGAAGACAATCAGAATCTATTTTGAACGGCGCATTGTTGGTTATCTCCCTCAAATAATGTTCTCATTGACCAAGACTGTTATTTCCTAAGAAGACTACTTGGATATTTAAGAGGTAAATTCTTCACCTTGTTCATCTGTGGGGGTTATACACTCTCTATTCTTATGGTATGAGTCCAGATGAGAAGGATTTGTGTGTCAATCATTGGCCAAAAAGGGGGAGAGAAGTTTTATTCAGCTGTGAGTCTGAAGTCAGTTTTTGAACCAGTTTCACAAGGATGTTGAATAAACTGCTCTGTTCTGAGCTTGTTGGCATTAATATTTATGACTTGTGATCTGAATTATGAACACAATTGTGACTTGTGTTATGAGTCACCCAAATTGAAGGTATTCTGGGTGTTGGTTGAAGATGTGTTCTTAGTTTGAGGGGGGAGTGTACACCAAATGTCTTCAGGAATTTCTTCCCAAATTATCCTGAGGGGATGTAATGGATTGGTTCAGGCTGCTGTAAAGAGATATTGGATATGATGTTCTAACATCAATAAGTCTGAGTATATTACTTCTCCTTTGTCATATTCTGGCTAAAAGGGGGAGATGAGATGAAGACTGAAGACTGTGAAGACTAAAGATTGACTGCTTCTGATTTTTTAGTTTATGGTTTCATGTGAAGACTAATGACTGTCTGGTTCTGATGTTTTTAGTTTATGGTTGCTGCTGAATGTATGTTTGTTTGGCATTTGCCTTTGATTCATGCTCTTATTTGTATGAAAAGGTTATGTAAATTAGTTTTAGCCAAAATAAGCCAAAGGGAGAGATTTTTAATTTTCTGATTTTGTGATTGATATTATGTTCGGTAAAACTAATATAGCAGTAATATGTTAAATATGATATGTTAACTTGTTGGGAAGAATAGGTGGAGCAAGAAGTCCTATTTTATGTTGAGACACGTCGAGATGAGAAGTTCTCATCATCAGGAGTAACATGTCGAATAAGATGTCATATGTAGGGTGATATGACGTCACGCCTGAGCTAAGCAAAACAATTGGATTCTGTTATAATCTAACAGTTGCAGAATATTATGGGAATATTATGCAGTCCTATGTGGTGCTGATTTAAAGGTCTGGAAGAATCAAGAAGAATATTGACTTTCTAAATAAGGAAACTTTTTAAGAAAGATTTGATTGAAGACGTATTTTGTGCAGAATCTTCTGCAGAATCGTAACAACTAATATGTTGTGATTAGAAGCCCAAATCCAGTTGAGAGATAGGTTATAAATAGAAGCATTACAACCTAAGTAAAGGTACCAGCCGTGTTTTAAAAAGATGTAATCATTAGGGCTGAGTCTGTGTACTACTCTCTAGGAGAGTTGGTGATCCACTCGACATGTGAGTTGGACTGAGTTACAAAGTTGTCATCTCTATTATTGTTATCACTCAGAAACCTTTAGGTAATGAGTTAAGTATTGTTCTTGGAGGAAGCTTTTAAGAAACTCCAAGTTGTGTTCTTAGTCAAGAGTCTTGGTTAGGTATTGTCATGGATGTGTGTCTTCTGTTTTGTCTTCATGGAAGTGTGTCTTTTTGTTTATGTCCAATCGTTGTCTATGATTGAAGAGGGATTAAGGAGAGCCTCATATCTAGGTGAGTCTTAGATAGAAAGTTTAGCACGGGTAGTGATTAAGTGAGAAGTTGTAAATGGGGGAGTTTAGCTTCGAATCGATACTATTATAGTGGACTTTATCTCTGGCTTGGTATGCCCCAAGAGTAGGTGTTGGTTTGTACCGAACTGGGTTAACAATTCCAGTGTGTTGTTTATGCTTTTCAGTACTATTTTATGTTGTTTATACCTTGCCTGTGTTGTTTAAGTCAGATAAGATGTCCCAACATGTCATAGGACATCTGAAGTCTGATGTACCAGAATTTCACTCTGTATTATTTTTGTGGCGTGACACTTACTCGTCGAAAACTAATGGACCAGTTTCATGAAGAGATCCTAATAGGTCACTGAAAAGCAGGGAAGGCTCATGAACCACCTATGGGTGGCCTTCTTGAACGTGCTGGAAAAAGCTTGCACTTCAAGGAGTAAGAGGTGTCTATGATTTCCATTTGGGTATTGATGGTGGTCATGTGTTTCTTGGGGCCGCTTTTGCCATCAAACTTCACAAGTGACGGTGGTTTAAATTTTTATCGTTTTGGAGTGCCCCAAATCTTGTCAGAGAGAGGTTGATGGTCCAGGACCCCGTCTTCGACCTGGACGTCTTCATGATGTCTCTCCTGAAGGGTCAGAACATTTTCCTACAATGATTAATTAGAACGGTGAAACTCTTCCATAGCAGATAAAATCTCTATTAAGGCCTCATTATCGTCGATGCCGGTGTTGATAGCTTTTATGGTGCCTCGTTGTGTCAACATGTTGCTGAAGATGATCAATGCGAGTGAGTATTGGATGTAAGCAAAGCCTATATTAGTTTTATCGAGGTCACGTGGTAGATGCCAATCGTACATGTAAAAATACAATGATGATAACCCTGTTTACGATGGTGACCCCAAGAGGGTTTATAAACTCTAAATATAAAATAATGAATGATCCCCTTAACCTCTCAGGGTTGGAATATTTGTAAACCTAGCTTATGAGTCAGGTTGATGAGTGAGGAATCAGTTCACTCTTAACTACTTGACTATAGTGTAGGATAAAAAGATTGGTTCTTCCCACTAATAAGAGCCAGCGAACCAACTCTCCAAATTAATAGAAAGAACTAATTTCTTTCTTGAGAGAATGACAAAATACAAACCTTTTTAAAAATATATGATTTGACATAGCAACATTCAATTATCTCCTAATGAATGTAAACGGGTCGTGCGACTCCCCCCATTGATACTGAGGGTACTGTATTATGATGAATGTTTTATGATTTTAAAAAACGTGACAAAATTTAATTTAAAAAATAAATAAACTAAAATAAATCTAAATCCCCTCAAAATGGGGACCCGCACGTACTCTGCGGCGAGCAGCACGGGTATATAAATAACTTATCCAAAATCCAAATTCCAAAATTAAATCAAATCATAAATAATAAACCATTCTTTTTCTTTCTCACGTTCATTTCTTCAATTGAATTACCATTTCTTATTTTTTCTCTGTTTCAAATTACATCATTTGATTCACAGAGAATTCGTGTAACATAACCTCCTTCAATATCAACGAACCTAATCTTTGAAATTCTTGAAGAATTTCAACCACGCACGAATTCGTCTCGAACGAGACTCCATGCCACCGCGGTTCTCCCTCATTGCCCTCTCAACAGAGGACTCTTTCGTTTTCGTTACAAAATTCGTTGATTCTTTTCACCCTAACGATTCTTTCGCGCAATTCGTCAACAATGTCTACTGATTCTCCTTCTCCTAATCTTTATCACAGAGGTGTTCTTTGCAATGCCGGTGCCGGTGCTGCTGCTGGTATGTCAATTTAACACAGATTGTTTTATTAATTGTAATGTGAATCATGTGATGTAATAGATGTAATGTAATGTGAGTTTTTATTTTTTAATTTGAAAAAAAATTAATTTCATGCAGGTGTTATTGCTGCCACGTTTGTATGTCCTTTAGATGTAATCAAAACTAGGTTTCAGGTTGGGGCTCCTCAGCTTGCTAATGGAAGAGTTAGAGGTATGCACTCGTAAAAAGGCTTTCTTTTTAATATTTTTGTTTTAGAGTTTGGGTTGTTGTTCTTAGAGTTGTTAGTGTGATTACAAAGAGATGTGAATAAACATAATTTAATAACTGCAGGTGAATAATGTATTCATGTAACTGATATTGGGTGTTTGTGTTTCTAGGTAGTCTTATAGTTGGTAGTTTGGAGCAAATATATCGTAAGGAGGGGTTACGAGGGATGTACCGTGGGCTAGCCCCAACTGTTATGGCCTTACTTCCAAACTGGGCCGTGAGTTTACTTCTTGTTATCTGCTTGTTGTCTTCTTCCTTTGCATCATATATAGTTGTTGTGTTTAGCTTCAAGTTGGCAATGAAAAACGTTAGAAGAAGGGGGAAATCCCCGGTATATCACGGACTTGAGTTGCATCACAAATCAAGAAAATACTAGGAGCAATCTTGCTGCAACTGCAATGATTATACAACTGCACGTTCTTTATATATTGATAGTTGAGTTCATCACTTAAACATGGCATAAGTTGATCACTCTTCCAATAATAAAATGTGTGACCCATTTAAGTAAATAAGTTATAACTCACAAAATATAGCCCAAATATTATTAGAGATAAGCTAGGATAGTTAGTTAGAACTATCATAACTACCAAGACTGACAGGTGTCAGCTTGGAATTGTATCCTACCTGCTACAGCAGGTCAACTGATTGCTTCTATAATTGCAACCAGTTGCTCCAATTGTAACTAACCAAAATTCATTCAATGAAAAATTAGTTAGAACTGTAAATGAACAGTCCAAGTGCAAATTCTATCAAATATAAGCACCTAACTGTGAAACACATGGTAAAATACCTGGACCATGAATTACAGCACTAACCAAAGTAGCACTAATTGACAACATAACACACTTGATAAATCTAATTACTTATGATTCTATTGAGCAATTTTTTATTTTTACGGGAATGATTTTGTAGAGATATGGGCAACCATCAAACCAGTTAAATCTTCGATCTTTAATCATATACCATACCTTTTGGGGTTTCTTGCTGCCTAATCAATAAAACTTGCTAACAATGATGTATTTTCTTGGCCTCTACATATCTCTATATGTCACCGGCTTTGTGTCTATACACTATTTAGTTATAGCAGAATAATGTTATATTCTACTAACTACTAATTTATCAATTTACTGATTTATTGGTTTGCAGGTCTATTTTACCGTGTACGAGCAGCTCAAGAAGCTGCTTTCTGATGGTTAGTGTATTGATGATTACCTTTGTTTTTAAGCTTGTCAACTGGCTGTTTGTGTGTACACGCTTTCACGGTGTTGTGTATTCATTCATTTGGAAGTACAAATTATAACAAACAGCTATGATACGCATGCAGATGAAAACCACCGCCTCTCAGTTGGAGCTAATATGGTAGCTGCTTCAGGTGCTGGAGCTGCAACTACATTGGTTACAAATCCATTTTGGGTTGTCAAGACAAGACTCCAAGTTAGTTTTTTTTTTCAGCTCAGACTGAATCTTATATCACCAATGATTTTCTTATGCTATCAACTTAAAATATATATGATTGTCATGATTCATGAGTGACTCCTATGATTAAAATATGTGCATTTCGTTGTTTAATAAGGAAATGTTGGATAAATAGAGGGAGTTATTAAAAGTATACTCTAGAGGGAAAAATTGCAACTAATAAGTAAATAGGTGTTTAGGGGAGATGGCATAATAATTTTAGAAGTAAAACTATACTCTATTGTAGTAAAAAGAGAACATTTCCCTTGAAAGAGGATGTTTTGCCCCCTTGTGAATTGAATAAACACATTTTTTATTTTCTACTTTGATCGATCTTTTTATTTCATTTTCTTGGACATATTAATTGGTTTGGCCTTCCTTTTCTTTTTGAAGGAGGGTTGGCGCCTGTCGTAGTGGAGGCTTGAATGCAAACGGTAGTCTTAGGTTTGGACCTGACTTAACCTCATAAACTAAAACCGCCTAACCTCAATGCCTCAATGGTTTGTGGGTAATGTAGGATGCCTAATAACAGATCTATGATAGGTTATGATACCATTTTAGATCTGGGGCTTAACAAGACCTCACAAAACCAACTTAGTTTAGGATTGCCTAAATGTAAGGTGAGGATTTCCTAGACTTTATTAGGGCCATATCTCTAGCCATTGTGAGACTTGAGTTTTCCTAATAAATCCCGTCACATCTAGGGCTATTGGGTTAAATACATGGACAAGACCGTGGCTCAATAACAGATCTAGGATAGACTCTGTTATCATTCTAGTTTTTGAGCCTAAATGTTGGCAACCTTGACGGAATTCATAATGAATATGGTACACACTACCCGATTTGCAAAAGTAAAGGATAATGTGGCGCATACAATGGATACAAATAAATTGATTGTAAAGTGGATACATAAACAAGGATATAGTTAGGATGATGATGATAATGAGGACATGGAGGAAGAATATATAGGGGGTAATCCAACTTCCTCTAATCAAAAAAAGAATTAAGGTTCCAAAGGTTTGTGAGAGGTGTTGCAAGATGAATAACAGAGAGTTCTTGGACCTCATTGGATGGATTGCTCGGAAGGATAAATTCTTTAATGTGCATGCCATTGACCTAATGATGAAAGTTCAATTAGCATTAATCAACAATGGAATTCTTTGAGGTGCATGAAGTTAACCTAGTGAAGAAAGTGCAATTAGTGTTAATTGGCATTGAAAGCGCGACAATTCATTGGTTTCATAATGGAGGCAACATTTTTTTAAGGGTTAACTACATTGAAGCAAACATATTCTTTGGAGGTGCATGAAATTAACCTAGTGAAGAAAGTGCAATTAGTGTTAATTAAACACTGAAAGTGCGACAATTCATTGGTTTCTTTTACCAATGTTTTAATTGGAAGGTTAGGTGACATAATGGAGGCAACGTTTTTTAATAGTTAACTACATTGAAGCAAACATATTCTTTGGAGGAGTATGTACAAACATTTGAAGGTCCTAGTGGTACAAGTAGGGTCAGTTCCAGAGGAGCAACCTTTGGGTATTTTCTTCGGGAGTGGGACACTGTTTTTTCTCTGGGGACTCTTTTTTCCCAGCAATCGGTGCCTAAAAAAGAACTTGAGAATCATTATTACGAGGGAAGATGAGCAAGAGGCGTAAGGTAACAAATAGTACATTGAGGGAATTTCCAAGGAGGAGGATGCCAAGTTAGAATAGAATATTTCGATGAAGCTGCAAGAGCTAGAGTTTTCTACATGCTCAATTGATCACATTATCAGTAATTTCAATGTCGGGGGTTTAGTGCATAGGGTGGATCTTGGCAGTTTCTCAATCTTCCTCCCTATATGCTCAAATATGTCAAAATACACTACCGAAAGCATGCCTACATAAACCTCCCGCGTTTTATGAGGGCGCATTGAGAAACTAGTTGAATCTTTTGGTTAGCCCCATCGGTGCATAATTCTTCATGTTGGGGATATATTTGAGAAGGAGATGTGAGAATGTTTTCAAAGTTTGGCATAGCAATTAGGCCGACATGCATTCAAGGAAGATTTCTTTGTTTCTGATCTTGGTGGAGTAAATATCATCTTAGAGTTGATTGGTTAACTACTCTAAGTTCCATATTGGGAATTAGGAAACCTCTACTATGATATTCATTCACTAGGTAGAAGTGTTAGAATGGAATTAGACTATGATCCACATCTGACTAACTCATAAATCTTTGTTAAGGATTTGCATCAGACTGTTGACATGGAATACACTACCTTCATTTTTTTGGCAAATAAGGACGTAGAAGGTTTGAAAGTACTGGGCTGAAAGATGACTTTGAGGAAAAGAAGAAGAGTGAATTAAAATAGGTGCCCAGAGCATGGCATGAGTATTACAAAAAGAGGGAGTCTTGAAAGTAGCAGGATGAATTTCAATAGGCGCCCAACAAGAATTACTTATACCATGCTCCGTGTGCGCCTTTTTCAAACCATACAAGGACTGTTTTGCACACACCCTTAGATGAAGAGATCAAACCTTGAGGGAGGAACAGAACAGCTAATAAGTGAATAGGTGTCAGTATAAATTAGTCATTAGAAGGAGTAGATAGGAGAGGGAGACACTATAACTGTGACAGTAAAACTGTACTCAGGTGCGAATGGGGTCTTTTTGCCCTTTGTAGAGTGAATAAACACATTTTTCCTCTTCTCTACTTCGACCCATCTTTTTCTTTCTTCTTAGTGGACCTAACAAGTAACAAGCCCTTCTGTTGTAGCTTCTATCATAATAGTCTTGGATGTTCTTGTGTCATACTCATAATTTCAGTGTTTGAAAATGTGGGTGTTGAAAGGGTAGCTGTTGCAAGTATAATAATATTGGTCCTATAAGTAATACGACGATAGATATGCATAAAAACTAGCTGACTTATTTTATCCCGCCTATCATCAGTGCATGCATATTTTCCTGACATGAAGTATGTTTCCCTTGTTACTTCAGACCCAGGGAATGAGATCCGGCGTTGTGCCGTATAGAAGTACCCTATCTGCCTTAAAGAAAATAGCTCACCAGGAGGGCATTCGTGGGATGTACAGGTTGGTATCATTTAATATCAATACAACATTGTGGCCATTGTATAATGCTTTATCATTAATGATTTATTAATAATTATTGACATCTGAGATATTCTTTATCGTTAACAGTGGCCTTGTACCTGCCCTGGCTGGTATCAGTCATGTTGCCATCCAGTTTCCAACATATGAGAAAATAAAATATTATTTAGCAAATCGAGGTAATTTAGTGCCTGTTCTAGTTCTTTGCGGCGACTTGAGAGTTTCAGCAGTTGATTGATTTGAGCATTATTTTGTATTAGATAACACAACTGTGGATAAACTCGGTGCACGGGATGTTGCAATTGCCTCGTCAGTTTCCAAATTTTTGCATCTACATTGACATATCCTCACGAGGTATCTAGCTGAATGGTTGACTTAGTTTTGTTGAATATATGCATATCATACATAACTAGTTTCCTTGCCCGTATGAATGGAATGACCTTGCCATTTATAAATCGATTTCAATGGTTAAACAAAAAACAAAGGGGATTTCTCTTTGCACCCTTATACCTTCTCCCAGGCCCCGTGCAAAATTTATAAAATGCCCCCCTGTATTCGGAGATACATCTCCGGATGCACCAAATTCTATTTTTTGCCAAAACTAAGTTCGGAGATATGTCTCCGAATTTTTCTGAGGTTAATTTAGAGATGTGTCTCCGAAAATACACCTGAACCAGAAAAAATGAGGAAAAATAATCTTGAAAAAATGAAGAGACCACAACAACACTTTTCTTCTTCATCTTCATCGGCAGATAACCATTCTGTAACCAAGAAATGAAGTGGTGATCTTAAAATCAATCTCTTGGTCGTTGTTTTGTATCAAGTGGCGGTCTTAAAGTCAATCTTTGTTGCATTATGTCGACTTGCGCTGCAGACTGGTATTTTCTCACCACTATGTTGATAGCCTGTTTCATTATTTAAGCTTTGAAAACGCTGCTGATTCGTAGCAGCCATGCTGCAGTATTAGCACTGCATTAGAGTGTTAACGCATATATGTTGACTATTGTCCTTAGTGCATATTGAGTTTCTATGTTTCAATGGTATTGTTAACTTCTCTGCCAACCACGAGCATTTGCGGATCGAAAAGGGGACAGAATTTCTCCAGGATTTGATTAAAATTTGATCTGTTTTATGCTGTAGTTCCTTTTGATAGGATCTAAAGATTGTCTGGTATGAGCACTAAGGAGTTTGACTTATGGGTTTGGACGATTAAGATGGAACAAGTCATCAAGTTTGAGGGAAACGGATGCTCCATGCTTAGTCATGTATTTAAGCATGAGTTTTTTTTTTTTTTGGTTCAGGTGTATTTTCGGAGATACATCTCCAAATTAACCTCAGAAAAATTCGGAGATGTATCTCCGAACTATTTTTTTGTAAAAAATGGGATTTGGTGCGTTCGGAGATGTATCTTCGAATAAATTCAAGAGTATTTGAGATTTTCAGAGGTGCACCCCACTCCATAAGGATGTAAAGAGAAATTCCCAAAACAAAAGTGCATTCACTATTTAGCCTCCTTTAACGTTGGGCCTTTTCGTGCCAATACAAACTTAGAGGTCCTCTCAGTTAGTCCCTAAATTTTAATGACTGAAATTGACCCGTTCAATTTTTGTAAGGTCACTAATTTGACATATATGTCAAAAAACCCAATTCATCCTCAAGTGTTTATCTAGAAAATTGTTTAATTTATTTAATAAATTAAAATGTTCATGAATTTCAAATCTTGATGGAATCACAACACAAGGCTTTGATCAAGTTACATGATGCTAGCTTAGCTGTTTCTTGAAATATTTCTCAACATTTTGCCTTTTGTCACATTTCCTTCCTTTCATTGCCAGCATAGAAAGCCATTTACCACCTATTGGTTTGAGAACTATTCATGAAATCCTTGTTTCGACTTTTAATGCTTTGAGGAGGCAAGCATCAGAATGTATAAAAGAATTTTGTTTTTGGTTTGCAGGTTGTTCGATCTAGACTGCAAGAACAAGGACCTCACTCAGAGAAGCGATACTCTGGTGTGAGCGACTGCATTAGAAAGGTATTTAAACAAGAGGGACTCCCTGGTTTTTTACCGTGGATGTGCCACCAACCTCCTGAGGACAACCCCAGCTGCTGTAATTACGTTCACCAGTTTTGAAATGATACACCGTTTTCTAAGTTCACTTTTCCCTTCTGACCCAGAGCCGCATAATTTGTAAAGATGAGCCTTGTTCAAAAAAGTTAGCTTAGTTGACAAATATTCTTTTGATGATTAAATTAAGTTATCATTCTTTGTGATTTTTTATTGTTTATCTACGTTAGAGGGTAGATTTTTGCCTCCTCAAATTACGCAAATTAATTGACTTTGTAGGCCAACAGAGGTCTTATTATAAATTTTGTGAAGTGATAATGATGATAAGTTAAGATTAAACATACTGTGCATATTTTATTATGAAACTGCTGAATAATGAAGTTCTGCAGAACGTTCTCTACCACACTATTTCACATCTCATGCACATATCGAATGTTGGAGTTTTGATTCATCAGTCAATCACAATCACTACTATATTAATCATAGAATTCAAAGCATGTTTGTTAAATCCTCGAAAATGAGGCGGGACGATTTTTGTTGAGGGTACGGATCTAAAATTTTGTTTTGTTCCGTAAAAAATAAGTGTGGGACGGATCCGCGGGCATAACACATTTTAAGTCTAAAAGGTATATATTTTTTTGTTAATGGACGTGCCCACAAAAAAGCGACTGGGGCATGCATATTATGTTGGGCCTATTAATTTGGAGGGTTAACATGAGAGGGCATTTTTACACTTAGCTTTTTTTTTTTATGAACACATTTTGTGAGAGATACACTACATACTCATCCAAAATTTTAATGCGATAGGTGTGTGAGTTTTGTCACTTATAAATGCTCAAGTGTCAACTTTTCTAATCAATGTGAAACTTCCTCACACTAACTCACGCTTGTAATTCTCAACACTCATATCAAATGCGAGTTTATCCACAATGCTCCCTCTCAAACGAAAACTCTTTTATCATGTACCACAATCGACACTCTTTAATGGAACACCTTATATCCACCACCGTAGGGAATTTCGATACAATGAAGCCGATCCCTCACTCGAACCAAAAGCTCGTGATACCACTATTGGGTCATCAATTCAGGAGTCAACATGAAGGAGCATTGCTTAAGTTGGGTCCACTTTATGAGCAACACACATTTGTGAGAGACACATCACATACTCACCCAAAAACTTAAGGTGATAGGTGTATGAGTTCTCTCACTTATAAATGCTCAAGTCTCCACTTTTCTAAATAACGTGGGGCTTTTCCACAGTTTTCTCATCCCATTTTTGATCACTTCAAGAACATCTT